TTCGATTAGTCGACTAATCGAAAAAATAATCGGTGATTAATCGATTATAAAAATAATCGTTTGTGGCAGCCCTAGTAGCAACACACAGATACTCCTGTCAGACTTCATACATAAGAGACCACTGCCAGGAAAACCATTTAGATTAAGTAATTAATTTATATTTTAAATGAAAGAAGAATGTATTGTCATTTACACTGCAAAAATTGTCGATCTAACCAAGGCGGTGTCCAAATTCAGGGGCTGCATCCTTCCAAGTGCGAATTTGAAGGCTGGTTACATCACAGCGATGCACCAAAGGCTTTCCAAATTTGAATGCTCCTCCAATTCTGTAATTTCTCTTTGGGATCAATGAAGTATTTTTCAATTGAACTGAAGTTGAATTGTGGTCCACAAATGTGTCCTCCGTTCCTCCCAATTTGAGGGATGGGTCCAGTGGGTCGTTCTCAGCCCACTCTATCCCAAGATGCATTGTGGGCCAACCAGGAGGTTTATTTCCTTGTAACTGCAGGCAAAGCAAGAGACAGGAGTACAGTTTTAAATAAAAATCTCGTGGTACAAAAATTGAAAGTTTAAAGAGGTTGTGTTGTTAGGCTTTGGTTATTTGCATAAACACCTTTTTAATATTACTCTTTTCAGAAATCATTGTAAACAAGATCTTAAGGCAAGTCCTTTAGTTCTTCATGTATTGCCTCTGCGCTAGTTGTGTTAATTTAAAAATAATAATATTATTAATATATTAATATTTAGCTAATTTTGGTTAATTTTAGATCTTTATTGCTTCTGTATAGCTCTGTCATGTTTGCTAGGCGACGCTGGGTTAGGGTGGGAATAAAGCCGATGGCTGGACTCTTCAATTCACAACCACTGGCTGTGTCCAAATTCAGAGGCTGGGTCCTCCGAAGGACCCGGCCTACCCAGTCTAGGTGGACCGGGTTCTTGGTAGACCGCAAAGACCAGAAAAAAGTGGCTGTGAATTTGGACAGTCTAACTCATTTTATTTCTGACAAAAATAATATTTTAAAAAGTGTCTATATAAATGACAAAAGTATTAACAACACAACTGCTTGAAACTTAAATTTTCGGTAACGCTTTCTTCTACCATGTAATTGCAAGGTAATAAAAATGTAATTAAAATGTAATTAAATGTAATTACTACCTTCTTACCATGTAATTACATGGTAAATAGGGTACAAAACTACTGTTAGTAAAACTACCTATATTGGGTAAATACAATCAAATTACTATTCAATAGTAACTCAACACTATATTTATGACCAAAAGAATGCAACTAAATTTTGAGGTTAGTGGTTAACTAAAATAAAATATAACTTTAAAACTGTCCAAATTAGCTACTACTTATTTAGGTGTTACATAGTGAATTGTAATACATTACCAGGTAAGTGCTACATTACTGCAGACAATTAATTACATAGTAAAATTGTACCCAAATTACCACGTAATTACATGGTAATAAGGTAGTAATTACATTTGATTACATTTTTTATTACCTTGTAATTACATGGTAATAAGGGTACCGTAAAAGAAAGTGTTTCCAAATTTTATACCGCCAGATTTTTATTTAAAACCTCTTCCTTTCTCTTGTTTCGTCTGCCATTACTGGCAGAAAAAAATCTGCGGTCGGCCTGCAATGCATTATGGGATATGGTGGGCCGAGAAAGATCCATTCTAATCCGGACAAAAGAAGGATGCATTTGTCGGCCGCATTGGAGGAGTCTTTGCATTTGGACAGCCTCCAGCACCGCGCTGTGATGTAGGCGGCTGACGAATTMGACCTTTGGAAAACCCGGCCTCTGAATTTGGACACAGCCACTTTCTTCAGTTCTTTGCGGTCGATACTACGTACACCGGGTCCTTCAAAAGACGCAGCCCCTTAATTTGGACACAGCCAACGTCTTACAATCTTATATTCAGCCAAAAGGTATTTTTGATCTTGTTCTGAGACTGATCTACTATACAAGAGCAGAATATGTTGGTGTATTAATCTTGTTAGCTTGGAATGTTTTCATTTTAAGAAGTCTTACCAAGTGCAATTATCTTATTTCACTGGCAGATATTTATCTTAATTTGAGTCTGAATCTTCTTGAATTAAGTGAAATAATCTGGCTATTTCCAGGCTAACAAGATTTTTAACACGTTCTKCTCTTGCTTTGTATAACAATCTCAAAACAAGATCAAACAATCCTTTTTTGCTGGATATAAGATGGAAGACTTGGTTAGATAGAAAACTCACGACATATGTTCATTTGTGGACACAATTTGAAAACTGCAAACAAGATAGCTGTTTCACTTTAAAACTTTAAATAAAACTGGTAAACAATACATCGCTTCCTGAGGAACACTAGGTTCAAGGTGCATTTTCTTGTATTTTTTTTTCTTTTAAACATTTCTTAACAAAAGTGTATGTAGCCTTTGGTTGTTGCTTTAAACTCTGTGTTTAACAGTGTCCTTCAGCTGTTCATTCAGGACAGAAACTAAAACTCATCTGTCAATGTTGTTTTTTATTTTTTATTTCCTCTCCCAGCTGAGAGAAACAGACGCAAACCTGGGCAAGAGTTCTCGCATCCTGACCGGCATGCTGAGAAGGTAAGCTGCAGGTAGGGACCACTGTTTCTGCACTTCTTTGCCTGCATTGTGCTTTAACAGTGTTGTGAACTCACAAAAGAGTGAATAAAAGATACTTATAATTAATTTTTGTAAAAATAAAGAGGAATACATTTTTACCTTTCAGGTAAGTCATGATTAGTTATTATTGTTGTTCATTAAACTTCATTTAATTGCATTTTTCTTTTTGTGTATGGCTTAGAAAGGTTAAACACATCTGAGTTAAGCCCATAACGTTAGGAGGCTGTTTGCCTGAATGCCACAGTCTTGGTGCTTTTGTTTGGATAGATGGAGAAAAGAGCATCTCAGTAAGGCATCCTGCAGAAACAAAAGGCTTAAAAAGACAAGTGCACGCTGAACATGTCTCCATTCTTTTTCTTCTTTGTTTTTCCACAAAATGCACTTACTGCCCAAAAACCAACTTGCAGTCTGTTTCTCGCAGTCTGCTGCTCGCTGGTTCACGCACAAAGCAGCCCCAAACAAATACAAACACAAGCATTCAGCTGCAAATATATAAAAAAGGGGGCTTGCATTATCTTGTGTGCAACCCTCCAAACACACACACATGCAGTTAATATCTTGTCACATCTCCATTTCATAAAGTGCCTATGTGCTTTCCGCTGAACCGTGACGCCACYGTTTTGTTTCTTGTTCTCTTTTGTTTTGTTTTTTTTGTTTGTTTGTTTTTTTCCCCTTCTTCTTCCTCTCACACAGTATGGATTTTGATTAAGAGTAATATGTAAATGACACTCACTAAATGTAAAATCCCAGGGCAGGAAGGAAGTGCCAATTGAAATAGATGCTTCAGTGACCATAGACAATTTGCCGGGCGGCTCACAGGGCAGCCAGCAAATAGTAGGCCTGAGGAGGGCTGTGACGCCGACTGTAACCAATATTTCTGCATATGTCTCCATTTTGTCAAGTCTGATTATGGGAAGAGAAGTAAGGGGGGGGTGGGGGTCACCTCGCCTGGCATGTCACCCAGAGCTGTCCAGAAATCATTCATCATTCCCTCCTCCCTCCTCTCTTCTTCCCTCCGCCCCCCTCTGGTGCTGAAGTAAATAACACGCACTTATTTCAATATTATCATATTAATGTTAAAGTTCAGCTGTCACCTAATGGGAAAACTTAATCAGACGTAGCATTTTAAGAGGCATGCTGCCACCCCCCCCCCTCCCCAGCCCCTCCTCCTGACGTGCCTTAGCTCCTCTGGTTAGTGCGCTGCTCAAATCAGGATTTATGAGGGCTTTCCAAACCGAGGCTCGGCTGCAAGCCTCCTCAACTGCTGCGCCCCCTCCCTCTCACACTTCTTTCACGTTTTATCACTGTTTGCAAAAAAAGAAAGCGTTTTTGTTTTGAGGTTGTGGCTCGGGAAACATCAACTAGTCGTTTAAAAGCGAGAGAGGCCAAAGATTACGTGCAGRGAACTCGTACCCCCTAATCTTCTCCCCCAGCCCCTTCTAGAAGTTTGCTTCTGATTTTTATTTTTTTGGGTTGTGTGTTTGTTTTTGATGTCAGATGGATGATGTTTGCTTTGTCGTTAGTGTATTAGTTGGAAAGGATAAAAAATAATTACAGAAGCAAATTGTACAAATGGATGCAACACAAAATAAAGGTGCACAGAAATATGAATGAAAATTTTTAAACCTTTTCTTTTCTGCAGCTGTAGAAAGAATTAAAAGTCAGGACTTTTTGAACAATAGTTTTTTTATATAAACTTTTAGGTATTTTAAATTTCTTCAATAAATTAAACGAAGGGATACACACACAGCAGCACAAATCTTATTACAAAATGTAAAGTCCAGAATTATACACGGTAACTAGCACTTCTTAAATCGTCCTCAAGGCCCTCTGGTTATCACCCCTGCTGAGAAACAATTACTCCCTCATTATGCTCACTGCCGTAGTTTAAGAAAGCTAATTAACTTTAAGACTCTGTGAACATCACTTATTGTAAGGAACATCTGGAAACATGAACATCTCAAATAGCTGTTGCTTTGTTTGAAAACAAAATGTTATACCTTTCAGACTGGGACAAATCATCATTGCCATTGACRATAATTWGTGAAAGAAAAGATAGATATGTTAYCTGTTGGTGCWATGATTTGATCTTGTTTAAATGCTGTCAATATGTTTGGTCACAGCTCTTACTGTGGATTACTGACACTGATTATAAAGGCCTCAGACCTTTTTGACAAAGCCCCTGCTGCTTCKGTGGCATGTTGACACTGTAGCTTCTCATAAATACAAAATGGTCCTCTGACTACCTTCAGCAATGATACTCTGAACATCTCAAGCATCACACCCACCAACAGTTGGGAACAGAATGCAGCTCCAGACCCAGTTAGGACTATTGGGGCCCCTGGCAGCTTCACGAAAGGAAGGGGGTGGATACAGTGAAGGGCACCGAAGCAGCGAAAGGGGGATGAAGAGGAGGGAGAATGTATATTTTGAAGCAGAGGGGTTGTCTGCTCTCACTGGCAGCTGATCCCACATGCAGGTGGTCGACTCAGTCGCCAGGCAGATCAAAAAGTCAAGGCCCCGGGTGGACTTCCCTTTGAAATGGGAATGGGGTCTAGATATCAGACAGAAAACATAAGCAAGCTCCCAGCCACAGAACAGCTCCATATTCATGGCCGGGACTGGCAGTAGCGACGGGCAGGCGAGATGGACAGAGCTTCAGCCTTCAGAGGAGAGCTCCTGCACACTCTGGGCGTTGATTAAGAGATCGGTCTTTAAGGCGAGCTGAAGACGATGCTGCGGCCTGATGCTGCTCCACTGTTACCAAGATACCAACTTCCTTTCTTGAGCACAGGCTCTCTTTATGTGTGGCTAAGGTCACTGCTCCCATGTGACAATATCAGCATAAATTTAGTACAGCTAACTCAGAACAAACATGTTTTGTTAAAGTTTTTTTTTTCCTGAAATTGAAATTAGGTCTGTTCATTTGACTAACTGGCAAGAGAGGAAAACTTACAACTCCTCTTTGCCTCTAGGAAAATCAAAACTGCTCTGCGTGTCGTATTCACTGGAAAGTTTTTTTTCCCTGTTTGCTTGCTCCAACGAGCCAACATGTGAACAACATCCTGAGCCAAAAGACCAAAGTGCATGCCCCCAGAAAAGCATCTAAAGAAGCTAAACTTTTTGTTTTTCGAAATCACAAAGTTTTGCCTCTTCTCYCTTATTATTGGTGAATATACACCGTCTTTATGAATTTGTTTGGAATATGAGCTACTAAGACATGTTTTAGGGTCGCATAATGAAAMTCTGTATCGGTGACCTGTGGTGGGATTGGAGTGCTTTTGCCAAACAACTGAACAGGAAAGGGATTTTTTTTCCAACTTGTTCTTAAAGAAATTAGAATTTTCTTTTCCTACCTATGAAAATATTTTGCCATTGTTCACACAGTTCATAAAATTACAGTCCTACACACTCATATTGCACATTAATGTGCCACATTGGTTATCTGAGACTTGTTCGGCATATTTTGCTTTTTTTTTTTTTAAATTCGGTATTACACCTGAACTCATCACGATAGCCGCAGCTCATTCCCAAGAGCAGCAAATCATTGCCAGTCGCTCAGTCTCTGATCTCGTCTCTGTGTTTCTGCCACAGTAATTTCCCTTACTGCATTTAAACGTGTTTCCTTTTGCTTTGCGATTTGCTCATCCTGGCAGCATCACGACACACAAGCGTTTTTCATACGGTCTCTGCATTGCTGCATCCCTCTGGGTCAGTGTCATCTCTGCCCTTTTCTCTTCCCTCCAAGGAGACATTCTGTGTGCATTATTTTCTGTCCATTCTGCTTTTATTTTGGCAAAGGAGCAAARTCCCAAAGTCTGAATCAAAGTGCCCCTCGACTCTTAGATTACCTTTAAAGTACATTTCAAGATGAACGCAGCTGTTGTCTGATGTGATCTGAGAAAAGGGGATATGATCTGTCACATAGAAATGAGTGCTTTGGTGTTAAAGTTGATCATTTTTGTCCAATTAAACTTTTGAAAGGCCCTACCATTGTTGGTGCAAAGCTSTTTTCTATTTTCTTGTTTCCAGTCCATCATTTATACCATCTGATTAAGCTCTGTGTGAGAAAAACAGATTTGTAATGTGTTGAGATGGTGGAAAAATATCAACACTCGCTTGMGCTTTGGAGAAAGGATATCATATCCTGATCTTACAAAAATATCCAAATATAAAGATTGAATGACTGAAGAAAAGTCACCACTCTGTGAGCTGATGTTTAAACCTAGAAAAAAACAAGTGGCCTTATGGAAAAGGGATTAACTAAATTTTAGTGATTGTTTTTTAGGATTTTTTTTGCACCGTTTGTTTCTAAAATGTCAAATAAGTCTCTTGTTTTCAGACAGATGATACAGTTTTATTATTCTTGTGAGTCTGCATATGTGTCTGTAGCCACAGGCTGCTGCTGGAACAATGACAGGGTGCGCCTCAGTCTCATTACTCACTTCTCCTGAGTCAAACAAGCGCCACTGCCAACAGTTTCTTTTTCTCACTCACCCTTCTGCTTTATCGCTGTCTTTTTCGTCTTTTCTTCACCTCGCCCATTAGAGAGTGCTGATGGGACGTTTTTTGCARAAAGAAAAAGATACACACAAGCCTGGGCTGTAGAGTAAGGAGCTGTTGACAAGTGCAAAGACGTGTTGTTGTTTTATATAAGGCATGCGTTTGTCTGTTGAGGATTGACTTGCTTTACTGGAACCCAAAGCCTCCTTTTTCACAGTTTATTTCCATTTTTTAATATGCAGTCCATAGTGGGAGTGTGTTTTTTCACAGGTCAGAATAAAATAAACATATAGTTTTCTTCAAGTTCAATGCATGTAAAAATCTCTGAGTTGGATAAAGACAACTAGCTTTAAAGAAATCCACTATTATTTGTAACATTAGACTTTATTTGATAAACATATATTTAACTGTAAAATAAAGACTGTAAAAATACTGTTGGATGTTTAGTTTTGTAAATT